TTAGTTAACCTCATAGTAGGTTAACTGAATATGTTTGTGACAAATTTACCTCTCTCTTTATTTAAACCAAATCTTGCATCCAGCGATATGTAAAGAAGGACACACCATAATGTGTTGGTGTTCCTTTTAAGGGATGTTTTATCAGGGTCTCTTGATAATTGAGGCAGTGCACTATTTTAAGGTTGAAATGATAACAAAAAACTATGATTAATCCTTTAAAATAGTAGATTTAATTTTGATCATCTCAATAAATTATTTTTATATAATCAAAAAGATGAGTTTCTAAGCCTTTTCTAAAAAAGAGGTGCAAATAAAGTCGAACAATGGTACATAAAATAAACAAAATCCAACACAATGTAGGGGTGTTTACGATCCTGCTTGGATCGGTTTTGAGATGAAAAATCATCCAATCCAAAGATACAAAGAACATGCTATTTGATGCGGTTTTTAGATGACTAAAATAAAAATTAAATCCAATCTAATCCAGTTTATGCGATTTACTTCGGTTCGATTAATTCGATTTAATTCAATTTTAAAATAAACATTGCATAAATACTTTTAAATAATTTTAAATTTTATTTTAATTAGAATTAACTACAGTTAAAAAAAAAGAATTTAAACATTTTTTTTCTAGATTTTATTTTAACAAACAAAAGGAAATTTGTCAAACAGAGTATGTATCATTTAAAAGCCATACTAGTATAATTGGGAATTCATTTCCACTAAGTCACTAACAATGTGAATCATTTTAAAGCTCTATTAGTATAACATAAAACTAGAACATAAATATATCAGTAATATAAATATCATTATACCAGTGTAACTTTAAAAATCATTTCCACTAAAATTTTGCATAATTTAAATGCCTTTAACTAGGAACTTTGTGTAACTTGGAACAGAAGAAATCTAATGTCATTATATGTATTTTTTGAATGCATATTTATTATAATTATATTTAATAAATGGTAATAAAATAAAAATAAATACTTTGGTTCGGTTTGAAAGAGTTCAATTTTCATGTAACCAACCAAAAAATTGAATCGGACCGATCGATTGCGCTATAAGGTGGTTCAAATACATCTAAAAAGTTCAATTTTATTTTTTTGATTTTTGATTTTTTTCGGTTCAGTTTTCGATTTTTTTGAATTGGATTAGATCTGAACACCCTTAGCATAATGTACATAATGCACCAAGGAGCTAATTGACATAAGCCCAAATGATTTGTACCATATGGAAATCGATTGAAAGAGCTTGGTGCACATATTTTCATATTAAATCCAAGCCAAACGTAGTCTCCAAGGAAATCAGATCCCAACATTAATGATAAACACTTAAAATCCTAAAAAAATTTGATTATCTAATCGATTGACACACCTATTTTGGGATGATTTGGATCTGATTTTCAATCACTACAATCACTACTAATTTCTCGTCGGAAATATACGATCAAATCAACAAGAAGCTCACTATAAATAGGTTTTCATTTGTCATTCTTTTGCATTACATAATTTTTCTTTCAAATTGTGTGAGTGTGAGATTATTCTCGCAAAATTATCATGGCTCATAGAAGTCTAAGTTTTTCCTCTAGTCTCCTTTCTGATTCCTTAACCACTTAACAACAAGAAGTGAGATTCATCCAAGAGTTTTCCGACCGAACCCGTATAAGAATTCACACCCCGAATTCAGAAGCCTTTAAAGTGAAAATGTTTTAAATTTTTTGAAGAATTAAACATGTCCACCTTCCTTTGGAGCCCCTTGAAAAAGGTATATTCATAATTAGTTAAGATGTTCTTCTCAAATATTTACTTCACTGATGGAATAATCTAGTATGAAGTAAAAAGACATAAGATATCCTTATAATTGAAAGAGTTTGTAAACATTTTGAATCTTTCTCATGAAGATATCATCCTCGAGTTCTGAGAAAAATGATAAAACTTTAATCTCAAGTTTGTTGCGTCCTCATTAATGCAGAATCCATCACACTCCATACAAAATTCACTCACTGCTGGATACATTTTCCCTGATAGTCGTATGATTAATTATATGACCAATCACATACTTTTTCCAAGAAAAAGCAACATTGGTCTCATAACCAAATTTGATGCTGAAGTTGTATGTCCAATAGATAAAAAATAAGGTGAATTGGTCAAATAAAGTAATCAAATACATGATGGGAAGCAAGAAAGAAGGAGCATGTCTTCCATATGGTAATTTGATCGCAAAGATTCTAGAATACACCAAATTCAATTTTGGTGAAGAATGAAATATGAGATAAGTTTTGGTAACAATGAAATATGAGACCATCAATGAAAAAAGTAACTGAAAAGCCCTCGTCAAATGAGAAGAAGAGAAAAGCAAATGATCAAGAAGTATCCATATAGATAGACAATTTTGACTACTTTATTCCTCAACTGAAGACCTACTTAAGGTCATAAGTGGAAAGATTGATGTGATTAATAACAAGTTCGACTTCATAACCTGACACAATATCCCAGACCCAACACAACTACCATGAGATCTACTAAGGCCGCACAAGAGGCCCATGACATAAGAGGTGCTCATGCAAGATTTAGTTTTTTGGAAAAGCTTTATAAAGAACATATGTTGTGAGCCATGGATGGCGAAGGTGATGATATGCAAGTTCAGTATCACTGACAATGTGCATTAAGGTGTTTGTTCCTAGTTGACACGTCCATGTTTATGGACAAAAGTGAAACCTATATCGATGTGGTATACCTTAAGTACTTAGTCAACTTGACTTCGATTCACGAGTACAAATGAGGGGCCAAATGTTAGGTCTACATGTACTCGAAGTTGGGCGAAGGTTGTTTATGAAAGAGAAAACATGTCACATGGAGCTGCACGCTGCTTACAGTAACTTACTATTACTAATATTTTCATATTTCATTTTTTACACATGCTTTTAAAATTGTATCTAAACCATTTTTCAGGAATTAATCATCTCCCACTTCCCTTACATCACCGGGTGATAAGTTATGCCTACCTACAATAAGGGTTGGCCATATGCAGTCACATTTGTTCCATACAAGGGGGATAGTGCAGTCGACCAATTCAAATTCTCTCTTAACTATGTGGTACTAGATGACATTTTCTTCTGCTCATATGAGGGTCACCGCCAGACGCGTCAGTTTGACATTATTTCCTTATACTTCGGATGACTAGCATGTAGGTCATCTCTTATGTATCCTTATCTTCCCGAGCGAGTGATGCGCAAGTTTGGCTACTTATAGATTATTTTGAGACCTCCATATGAGTCTGCTCCTCCCGACATCTGTCTTAGAGATCTTGGTGTGATACTTGATGATTACGAGTCACTTGGTACCAGAGGAGTATCATTAGGTGCTAGCTCCTTTTCACCGTGCTTATGTTGAGGGCTACATGACATGGTTTTATAGGGTGTCACACCCTATCATGACACCAAACGTTCCTGGAAGACTACCTAGACCAACTAACCAGAAGATACTTGAGGCTCAAGATGACCACACCGAGGATGTGACGCCGATATATTGGCGTGTTACGAAGATGTGTAGAGGAGGTATAAAGACATGACTCTTGGAGGATGACTGTCCTCAGTTGGCCCTCGTGAAGAACATGATTACCGAGTTACAGAATATCGTGCAGTACAAATAGATGAGAGCGCGGGGGTTAGACGTATCAAATATGTTATGTTTCGATGTATTATTTTTTTTGTATTTTCGAACAAATGTTATGTACGATCTTAAATTTTAATTAATGTATGACTTTTAACTTTCATTTGAATTTAGTATTATTTAAGTTTACTTTAAAATAACTTTGCTCCAAAAAAATTACAATCATTTTGTCTAAAAAAGCTTAGGACAAGGGTTCTGCCCTAAAATAATTCAGGGGACATTCGAGAGATGCATCTTCAGATGCACCCAAATAACAAACAAAGATGCATCTCCGAATCATATTTTGTTTAAAATACGGTGGATTTCAGAATAACGTTTTCTGGTGTGATTTTGGATGCGTTAAGAGAGATATATCTCTGAATGTTTAAAATACCTTTTTGAATTTTCAAAGGCGTGAGATAAACACTTAAAAGTTGAAGAGCATTCCCCATAATTTTTGGTGCAATATGCAAACCAAAAACAATTATACTAAAATACATTTTGATCAAAATTAAATAGATAAATTTTCCTTTCACCTTTTTAGATTCTCTTATTATAATCTCTCAATAAATTTAGTCAGCATAATAAGTGATGTAACACTCTATATTAACCTTTTTTTCAATTTCTTATTCATTTTATTATTACGTAGATTAACTACGTTAACTTTTATTTTTAATTTTTAATTTTTTTAACTATTCATAATTTAAAAACATTCAAAAATCTTAAAACTAGCCTAAGTGGGAATCAAACCCAAACATATACAACATGAAAGCTACGTACTCTTCCACCAAACCAATTGTAGTTTTTGATTTGTTTCTCCCCTAATAAATACTTAACTTAAAACATTTTCAGAGAAAAATATTTAACAAACATATTGTTTCAACATATCTGAAAGTAACATATAACAATACTATTCCAGAATTCCTTAATTTTAGTTTTAACATTATGCAACAAGGAGATAATATTTAACTTTTAAACATTTTTATTAATATTTAAATACCTTTAAATAAAATGTATTTTTTTATATTTAAAAAAAATTAAATATTAATTTATTAGGGCTTCTAAGCCCAAGCCCAATCTAGCCGCTTCACTCTTGAAGAATCTCAAGTTGCAGTCGCACAACTCACCGTCGCCGAAACCGAAACCGCAGCCGTAGTTCCTCTTCTTACGGACTAATTCCGTCCGAAACTCCATTCCACTTGTAATTTTTCCTTCTCCAATCTCTTTCAATTTTTTAGGTCAATAATAGAGTAACAAAAATTTGTGTATATTATTAGGTCAATAATTTTATGTATCTATATTTACATTTGTGTATCGTGTTTGTGTTGATTCACAGTTTGGATTTTGTTCATGATGAAATTAAGTAAGGGGAAAAAAGAGATGCGAATTGGGGAAAAGAAGAAAAAAAGAAACTTGGAACAGAAAGTTGATGATGTGGAGACATATGTTACAGTGAACAATGATGGTATTATAAATTTGTTGTTGTTATGTTTTTTTTTTTTTTTTTGTACTTTTCATACTTTGTTGAACTGTTCCTGAAGTAGATTGATTGGTTGTTTCAGTGGATGGTGGAGTGAAGGTTAATAAGGGAAAAAAGATGAGAGTTTCATCTGGTAGAAGAAAGAAGAACAAGGACAAAAATATCTTTGTGGAAGAAAGACGGGAAGGTGAAGAAGTTGATTTAGAAGAGCAAAGTGGTGAGTTGGTGATGCGTCATGGTTTTAAATTGCAATTGCGATTGCGGTCATTGCGGTTGCGGGTGTTGCGATTGCGGTCATCGCAGTTGCTGCGATGCGCATTGCAGCCGTTGCAGCGCGATCATGGTCATTCCGGTTGCTGTGATGCGCATTGCAGCCGATGTGTCGTGCGTTTTATTAGGAGGTGTTTGAAATATACCGTTAAAAAACACTTGATGTTAAGTTTTTCAAAATTGAGTTTTGAGGTTTTGAAAATTTGAGTTTTGATAGAAATATTTGAAGAAATCTGGGCGAAATTGTTTAATGTGATTTCTAATGGCGGTTGGACGCATAGTTTTAATTCACACCGCAAATGCTGTTCGATGCGGTTGCGGAGATTATAGCATCCTATGTAGTACCGACATCTCTGAGAAAAGATGCGTCTGTGTCTGTGTCAGACACCTGCACCGACACTTGTGATTACATTTATTTTATTCATTTTTCTAAATTATTATTGGTGTCATTGTGTCAGTGTCGGAGTCGTGTTTGGGGTGTCTATGCTTCATAGATTGCATCAGCTTGCAGCCGCAATTGCGGTTGCGGATTGCAATTTAAAACCATGGATACTGGTGTATCTTTCTTTATTGTGGACAGTATATTTTGCTGTTTTTGTGCTCGGGTTTCGTTGAACTTTATCTGAGGTAAATTGATTGTTTCAGTGGTTCATGAAATAAAGAGAGAAAAGGTGAAAGGTACAACTAGTCGAAAAAGGAAAAACAAAGACAGAAACCTAGTTGGAAGACAAAGAGTGGAAGATGAAGAAGTGGATTTAGAGAAGGAAAACGGTGAGTTGATTGTTATGGTGTGGCTTTTATTAGGAGGTGTTTGAAATATACTGTTAAGAAACACTTGATCTTAAGATTTTTCATTACGTAGGAAGTAAATTCAGTTTTGAAGTTCTGAAATTTTGTATTTTGATAAAGATATTTGAAGAAATCTGGGCAAAATTGTCTGTGACTTTTAATGGCGGTCGGATGCATAGTTTTAATTCACATCACAATTGTGGTCCGATGCGATTGCGGAGACTATTGCATCAGCACTATTGCGGCCGCAATTGCGGTTGCAGACTGCAATTGCGGTTGCAGACTGCAATTTAAAACCATGGATACTGGTGTATCTTTCTTTACTGAGGACAAGTTATTTTGCTGTTTTTGTGCCCGGGTTTTGTTTAACTTTCTCTGAGGTAAATTGGTTGTTTCAGTTGTTCATGAAATGCAAGCTATAAAGAGAGAAAAGGTGAAAGGTACTACTAGTCGAAAAAGGAAAAGTAAAGACAGAAACCTAGTTGGAAGACAAAGACTGGAAGCTGAAGAAGAGGACTTAGAAAAGGAAAATGGTGAGTTGATTGTTATGGTGTGTAGCTTTTATACTTGAACAAAATATTTTGAACTATTCATGTTGATCTTATCCTACCTTTATTCATCATTGATATTAGATGGAGTAGTGGAACATTGTGATGCTAAACAAGAGGAAGTCAAAGACTCGAAGGAGCATAGAAATTCCAATACTGGAGCATTTATCAAACCTTGTAATATAGAACATTTTCTGATTGATTCCATTGTTGTTTTGTGAAATATCAAGTCCTCTTTTCATTTTCCTTATGGATTTTACCCTGTTTTGTAGGTAAGTCAAAGGAAACTAAGAAGAAACGAAGAAAGGAGGTTCCAAAATCACCAGAAAAGAGAGAACAAGATCATCAGGAGGTCCCAAAATCACCTGAAAAGAGAGAACAAGATCATCCGGAGGAGATTCATATTATTTCCCCTGGAGATGACGACTGCTCAAATGGAATGAAAAGTATGAAATGCTTTTTCCAGTGAATTACTTAATACTTTCTTAAAATATATATATAACATTTCAACATTCTTTATATTACCTCATGTGTATTATGTCTTTCTTATTATGCCAACATCCACTCCACCTCCTAAGATCCTTTTGGATTGTTGTGCACCCTTGTACTTTGTGCAAATTTTATGTACTGTCCATTTATTGTGATATATGATATAATTTCTTTTTGACTGGGGAAATACTCTAATTACAGAATGGATCATGGAATACCATCAAAGTAGACCAAGGTTGAAGGTGTTGCAAAATCAAATTGACGACTTTATAACTGATTACGAGGAGAAATTGGAAGAGGTAAATGTTTTGAAAAAAATCCGTCAAACAGAACAGAGATTGGATTCTGTTAGCCAATGTTTCAAAATGTTGCTGCTTTATACAGATTTCTTCCAAATAATAGTTCAATAACCCTTTTTCAGTGTGAATATTTATCATGGCTTGCATTTTATTACATATTGAAGTTGAAAATAAATTGTTGTTAGAAAATATTTTGTTTAGAGTTTTCTTTGTATGCCTACTTTATCTATGGCTTTGAAAAAATAACTAGGAAAAGAGAGTAATTGATATGATTTTGGTATTTACTTTGAGATCGTCAAGTGTCTAATATTCAATACACATTAGTTCTCATTTTGGTTTCCATTTGATTATTTTATGGTCAATGTAGGAAAAGAAAGCAAAAGAAGCTCTTGCTGCAGAAGGGGGATGGACGGTGGTTGTTCAACGCAAGGGTAGAAAGAAAACTACTGATTCTGAAAGTGGGATTGCCGTGGGCTCGGTTGCTCAAGCTGCTGTGGAGGATAAACTGGCCAAAAAGAAAAATAAAGAAGTTGGTCTAGATTTCTACCGCTTTCAAAAAAAAGAAGCCCAGAGAAATGGTATGAATTGTTTTTCAAAATGTTTTGCCCCATTTTTATATCCTAGAGATATCTTATCCCTGATGTTATTCGTGTTCCTTTAGTTTAAGAAATAGTAAGGTTATTAGTGTTGCGGGGTTACCAATAAAAGGGTGAGAAAGACCAGCATACCCTTAAGAAAATTAAAAAAATTACGGTTTAAAATATAGGGCTTAGGGTTTTGCCCTGAATAGAGAATACTGGTCATCAAACTGCGATGACACTGCTATTGCGCTGCCATAGTGCCACTACGAAAGCACTAATAGCGGCCACTATGACAACTATTGTCAATAGCGCCCGCACACCTATGAGGGGCTGTACAGGTTCGCTATGCCGCCACTACACGGTGCTATAGTGTGCTATTGACAACATAGGAAATCGTGTCCATGTATCTTTTCTGTTCTATTATACACAGTTATCTTTTAGACTCTACATAATATCTTTGTTATAATTCAAAATCCTTCTGCCATTAAATTAGAACTTTATGAAAAAAAACAGTAAGGCTATGTTTGAATTGATGAAACATAACGGAGCGGGGTGGATTCCATCATGTTCCATTTCATTCCGTCCATTATTTGCAAATCTAAACACTCCATTTCATTCCATCATAGTTACCACTCCATTCCATCCCATACCACCAATTCAAACATATCCTAAGAATTAGTTTTTTTGGATGTTGATGAAATGAATGTTGCCTTGTTATAGTTAGAATACCTTAAAAGTTATATGAAATGAATGTTGCCTTGTTGTTACTACCCTTTTTTTTCTCAGCCCTAAATTCTGTCTTAAATGTACTTCCGCAAAATTCAAAATCAAAATGATGATCTAACTGATAAACCATTCATCTTGTGCTTGCAGAGCTAATGCTATTGCAGCAGAAATTTGAGGAAGACAAAAAACGTTTGCAACAGTTGAGAGCTGCCAGGAAATTCAGACCTTACTAAATGATGTCGATGGCAGCCAAGGTCGCCAGTTCTATTCTTGGGGGTTGAGGATTATATATATGAAATCGGGAAGGTGATTTATCCCGTAGTACTGAAAATTGTTCATTTACCATTCCAATTTTGCCAGAAATGTGTAAATGTAAGGAAGTAGTTATTTTAATTCGAGTTATATGATTTCGCTGTGAAGATCATACTGCGCAACCCTATTTTGTTTCTTACACAGAAACCACAAATTTTGATGGTTCTTTCTTGTACACTATGAATGTTCAAACTTACTTATTTTATGCACACTTGATATTGAATCTCTATTTCGTGAATTTGGATCCTCTGCAGTTTTTTCACAACTGCAATCTGTTCAGCACAAATTTTAAGCCATAGATTATATTCCATCTCTCTACCTATATGCTAAATCATTTTATTGTCTATCAACCATTGGATTTGAAGCAGCTTCTAGATTGAAGATAAAAGTCCATTTTCAACCTCTGAATAGTCAAAATAATATGAAAGTAATGGGTTTAAACCTTATCTATTTCTGAATAATAGTAAAGGTCTTATCTTAAACCAATTTTTTTTTGTGACTAAATCAAAAGTATAGTTCATAGTTTAGTTATGGATTAGAAGTAGGAAAAGGGTCATTTTCTTTTGAATAAAAAGATATTAGAAACTTGACGTAAGCATGTAATAATCACAATGTGTTAATCTTCGGTTCACACATGACTTTTCGCATTCTATTTATTTCATGACACCCTTTTTCAGCTCATGATAGAAGGATAAATTATTAAAAGTATACAAGAAAATTTCAATTATGATTTTTCGCCTCTATATTCTTGATAAACAGGATTGAGATTATGCAAGTTGGCAACTAGACTTTTATTTTAGAAAAGTAGCCACCATCACTAAGATTCACGTTATACTGGGGATACGTTTTATTATTCAAAACTGTTTAATTTGAGTCAATTAAATATATTGCTAACTCCATTATAAAGAAAAAGACAAAAATGTTCTACGTTCTTTAACGCGTTTTAATATTTAAAGCTTCCAAAAGATTATTTATATTTTTTTGAATCAAATTAGTCATTTACTTTTTCTTTTTAAAGTTTATATTGTAGAATCAGGTCAATTTTAAATTTATATGTATAATATTAAACAGTATATTATAAAAAATATCACCATAATTAGACTTTTACTGACAACTAATCACAATTTTAAACAAGAATTTTAAAATATTTTATTTATGATTTATTAAATATTATAATTGACATTCTAATGCAATTTTGATGGTATCTTTATGAACTATTAAGTAGAATTTTGTGAGAAAAATTGAAGTTTTTTTTTTTTTTTTATTTTAAATTTAAGGTTTAATTACATTTTTGATCTATATTTTATCTAATTTATAAAATTGATTTCATATTTTAAATTTAAACCGTTTTAGTCTTCTCATACACTTTTGCATTAGAAATTAAACTAAAAAAATAAATACTTAATCAATTTTTTATATAAAAACCTGAGATGGAACCAAAACTAATTAAATTTGAAATAAATAATTAATTTTGTAAATAAAATAAAATTGAGAAAATAATAATATTCTTGATTCCTAAAGAAATTAATTGTAAATGAGAAATTGCATTGCACAACCTTATTCTGCTTGTAAAGTTGACTATAGCTACCAATTGGCTTTGGTCGTTTTTATGTCCAAATTCAAACCAAGACGTTTCAATTTGATGATCCATGCAATGACGCAACTTCATCTATTTATATTGTTGCTTCATCTTAATTGAAACAATAAACAAAAACAATCATTACCAAGTTAATTTCAACTTTGATAAAAAAAAGGTTAGAAAGTTTAAAAAAATGGTGGAAAAGAAAGTTGTGATCATAGGAGGTGGAGTTGCTGGTGCAGTCCTTGCTAAAACTTTACAAGATCAAGCTAATGTCACTCTTATTGATCCGTAAGCTTTCTCTTTCTTTATGCAAGCAATATTATGATTTATCTGTAGGATCGACATCTCTGAAAAAACATGTATGTGCATGTGACTCTCTGAAAAAACATGTATGTGCATGTGACTGTGCTATATCTATGTCTGTTGTACACCTATTCAACATGAATACTTATGATTACGTTAAATTTATTTATTTATTTTAAATTATTATTTGGTTATAGTGACTAATTTGGATTGTTGAATACAGGAAGGAGTATTTTGAGATTCCATGGGCAAGTTTAAGGGCAATGGTGGAGCCATCTTTTGCAGAAAGGACAGTGATAAACCATAGAGAATATTTCAAAAAAGGTGACCTTATTATATCAAGTGCTACCAACATATCTGAATCTGAAGTCTTCACTTCAGATGGCCGTAAAATTTCATATGATTATCTTGTTATCGCCACCGGTCACACCGAACTTATCCCGAAAACAAGGACTGAAAGAATCGACCAATACAAAGGAGGTAATTAAGCGATATAAGTGCTTATGTTCGAGTTATTTTTATAACAAAAGATAAAATAAAGTCAAAATATTTTCATATAAGTGATGACTGACTGACGGGATTTCTTTTTTTATTGACAGAGAATACGAAGATAAAATCAGCGCGTTCGGTTTTGATTATCGGGGGAGGTCCAACCGGAGTCGAGCTAGCAGCGGAAATCGCTGTTGATTTTCCTGACAAAAAGGTGACTATAGTTCATAAAGGATCAAGGTTGCTAGAATATATTGGGACAAAAGCTTCAAGAAAGACTCTAAAATGGCTTAAATCAAAGAAAGTTGATGTCAAACTTGGACAATCTGTTGACTTGGACTCTTTCACAAATGAAAATAGAACATATCAAACTTCACTTGGAGAGAGTATAGAAGCAGATACACATTTTGTATGTATAGGGAAGCCTCTTGGTTCGTCTTGGCTTGGTGAAACTCTTTTGAAAAATTATTTGGATGGTGATGGAAGAATAAAAGTTGATGAGTACTTGAGAGTTAAGGGGAAGAACAATGTTTTTGCAATTGGAGATATTACAAATGTTCAAGTAAGTGCTTACCAAAACATAGTCAATTTTAAATATATGTTAGATTGTTATTTTCCCACGAGTAATCTTACTTAAATATCTGATCTGGTCTTTGTTTGACTTTTTCAACACGTATCGTACGAGTGTTATAGAAGTGTCTGATAGTGATCCTGTCAAACACTACGACACACCTACTCTTAGAGGTGTGTGATTTATAGATTAATGCGACGTTGTTTGATTTGAAAATTGAAATATATGTAACAGGAACTAAAACAAGGAGTGTTTGCACAAGGTCATGCAAAACTAGTAGCCAAGAATCTAAAGCTATTGATAGAAGGAGGAGGGAAAGCACCAAAACTAGGAACTTACAAGGCACAAGCCCCAATGTCAATTGTTTCACTTGGAAGAAGACATGGTGTTGCACAATTCCCTTTCATGACAGTTGTTGGAAGGTTTCCTGGTATCATCAAATCAGGAGATTTGTTTGTTGGAAAAACCAGAAAGGACTTAGGACTTGAACCTAATGTTAAGAAATCTTAATTTCATATTATATTGGTGTGTATATAATATTCAACTCGTCTTTCGTAGTTATTGTTGTTCATGTTTTGTGTTCATTATGAGTTTTCTTTCAGAGTGTGTGTATTCCAATGATCCATTTCAATGTATTTGTAGTGATATTTGTTTATGATTTTGAATTTTGTAAGTTTTGTATATTTTACCTTTTCATTATAAATAAATGATGAGTTTTTTTTTGGTGTGAAATATTTTTTCATTCTATAGAATATTTTTTACTCTATGTAGTTTTCTTAAGATGGAAACCCAAATGAAAAAGGAAGTATGTTACGAGGACTAAAGAAAAATTACTATGAGTCATACAGCATAATGATGACTAAAAATATTTATTATAAAAAATTAGTGTCCCACTTCTTTTCTTATAATTCACCATATTTATTAGGGATGAACAATCGATTCGTTTGGATGAAAATCGGCCCAATCTAACACAAATCGCAATTTCATTATTAAGACTTAATTTTGATTGATAAAATTTTGATTTTTGGCAAATTTAGTTTAATCGATTTAATAGATAAATCAGGTGAATTTAGTCAATTTAATATTTATTAGAATAAACTTATAAAAATGACTCATCTTTTATAAAACTCACAAATATTTATCTTTTAATTTTACCAAAAAAACAACTATCAAAATTTTAGAATAATTCAAAGAACTATTTATTATTATTATTTTAAAAACGTTATTACCATGTTATAACATTTCAAATATTATTCGGTATTAATTTGTTTATTATCGTACTTTATGTTAGATTTAATCTATATTTTAGGAATATCTTTTGGATATTAATCTATATTTTAGGAATATTTTTTAGAGGATATTATTATATTTTTTTTATATCTTTGTTAGAAAATATTTAGTATTTTATTTTGTGTATAAATAGCCTAGTGAGGTAGCTCAATGTAATTCATTGTAAATCACTATTCTTTATTTTTGTAGCCGTCAGTTAATATATTCTTTTTTTGCCTTTTATCTCTTCTTTGTGCACCAACAATTGGGATCTAGAGCTCCGGTTCGAAATCCACGGAAAAACGGAAACACGAGAGAACAGTGAGGTGCTGTGTGATAATCGTTGTTTTTGATTATGGGGATTTGAGAAACACTGCTTTATTGAGTTTCTGCGTAAATTGCACAAAGTAGAAGATGAACGGAAACAACGACGATGTCCATTCCAAGCTTCCAGTATTTGATGACAAAAACTGGAATCGTTGAAAGATCCAGATGCGCGTGTTATTTGGTTCTCAAGATGTGTTAGATCTTGTCACCGATGGCTATGATCTGTTAGAATCAGACGTAACTGAAGCCGCATTGTATTGTGAAGTACATGTTGAGATCCTTTTCCGATGAACATTCACCATTCTTCAGAAGCGGATGAAATAGTATTTCTGATGTGTGCTTAGTATATTTCTAATGATTCTTCAAACAACAATGCTGAATCAATTTGAACTTCTAATATTCACACTCAAGAAACTATTAGAAAAAAAATTATTTACATATAAAATATAAGTGTTATTATCATCAAAATCAAGAGATTAATTTCATAATCCAAATCTTGTTCTAACAATCTCCCCACTTTTCATGATGACAAATCCATGTATTTTGATGTAACAGTTTGATAAGGTAATATCATAAGCGAATCAGAGTTAAGAGGAAAACTTCTCCTGATTAGCGTAAGCCCCCCATGAGTCTAAGACTTACAAATTTGGGAAGGAAGGGATATCTGAGCATTTTTTAGAAAACTCCCCCTGAGTTAAACAATCTCTCCTTGAATCTAAAACTTAAGACCTTGTTAGAAAAGAAGGTTTTCCGAGCTTGGTTAACATTTTCCAGAATTCTGATTGAAGTATATGAAAGCGATTATCAGACTTGCTTTATCATAATTTCTTTCTTCATTAGAACCTTCTAATCATCATAGAGGTTCATCATCATAGCTTGATCTATCAAACCCTTCTAAATATTTGAAGTTCGTTATCAACACTTGATCTATCAGAACATTCTATACCTTATAATTTCTTTATCAGAGTTTGATCAATAAAACCTTCCAATCATTAGAAGTTCTTTATAATAGTTTGATTTGTTTGAACCTTTTAGACTTTAGAAGTTCTTTGTTCATATATTTTCTTCTGAATATACATGAAACATATTCTAAGCTCTTTCATATATATATATATATATATATATATATATATATATATATATATATATATATATATATATATATATATATATATATATATATATATATATATATATATATATATATATATATATATATATATATATATATATATATATATATATATATATATATATATATATATATATATTCGTTAGAAATATAAGTAATGAGATTTAGAGAGTTAGGTATGCATCAAAATCATCATTATGCTTCTCCCCCTTTTTGTCATAATCAAAAAGATAATTCATTAAATTATTGGATAGATAGTACAGGAAATAAAATAACAGAAAAAACAAAACAAGGGTTTCCTAGAAGTTCCTATGGGTTAGACGAAGATTGAAGCTTGTTAAGAATCTGCTTTAGCAAGTCTTCCATCTTCATGTTGAAGTTTTACTATTTGTCGAACTTTTTATTTGCAATCTCTTGTTCCTTTTTCAACTTATCAAGAGTTTGCATCAGGACAGTGGAATCTTTTGGAAAATTTGAAGTTTCTACTGCTTCCTTCCCAATGGCATCTTTTCTGACAACTTCTTCTTCGGCTCGTTTCTTAACCATTTCTTCTTCAGCCTTTTTCTGAGCTGCCTCTTCTTCTGCCTTTTTCTTAGCGGCTTCCTCTTCTATCCTTTTCTTAGCTTCTAAATCCAGATATCACTCTTCTGCTTTTTTAACAATTTTTTCTTGTAACTGTCCAACAAGATTTCTGATTGTGAGAAACTCATTAGCCATCCATTCTTTAAATTGTTCTTGATAGAGTTCAAGTGAGAAGAATCAATGCTTGAACTAGATTCTTCTATGAGCTTATTGATTATACTTATTACATCTTTATTAAAGATAACAATTACTTCTTCCATGTCCAGATTCGAAGGAGGAAGATCAGAGGATTGGGAATTATTTTCCTTTTCAAAGCTAGTTTCATCAGAAACCGTGTCATTAGAGCTATCTAAGCCATGGGTTTCATCAGGAATGCTATTGTTATTTGGATCAGAAGATGATGGTGAAATGTTTGAGGTGATAAGGGTTTCAAAAGTGTCTGAATCAAAAGTAGAAAAAGTTTCTGATATTTGACCATCAAAGGTTGGTAAGGATGTAAAGATGTGTTGTGGAATTTTTGTGGCGTTTGTGATCTTTGATGGTGAGATGGTAAAAGATAAATTTGTAAAGGAGGTGGTAATGGTGATTTATGGATTTATTTTTGTTTTTTGTTGTGTTGCAATGACCAACTTAGATTTTTCAGTGGAAGTCAAAATAAGCAAAGATGGAAGTGGAGTGGATGAGGTAGTAACTATGGTAGATGTTTGTAGAGGTGGAATAGGCATAGATGAAGTAACATAAGCAAGTTCAGGACCAGATACAACAACTTCAGAAAACTTACTAGCTTGATACACAGAGACATTGATGTTAGCAGAGTCTCCTTTCTCCAGAGTTTTCTGCTTCTTACTATTTGTCTTCTTCTTCTTCTTCTTCTTCTTCTTCTTCTTCTTCTTCTTCTGGGTTAAATTATACTTCCTCTTGAGAGTAGATTATTTATTAACATTAATCATAATTTCAGAGTTATCAGTACACTCTGCTTCAATCCCCTTGATATAAGCTATTAGGGCTATTGGTGAGTCAAACTTCGTAAGTGAAGGATATCCGACAACTAGTATCCTAAGAGTCTTGATATTTCATAGATCCTCAAGAGTACTTGGTTTAATCACTTCCCAAGACCTTTCAACAATATTCAATATTTTAAGATTATTAACATTAATGGATTTTCCTTTATCTTCCCCAATACCTTCCATATGATTCTGATTTGTGAGATGTTCCATGAGGCCATTTTTGATCAGAATATGTGAAATCAGTCTTCCCATAGGAATATAACTCTTCTTGGACTTCCCATATTTTATTTTTCTATTTGATATGACAGAATCTCTTAAATAGTTAAATAGAAGACATGGAAGATGCACCTTGATTCCTTTCATCAGATAATACAATATGCATTTCTGATCGGTGTTGACATGATCGGTTGAGCAAGTTACTGGTCTGTGATGAATAGAGCCCAGAATAATCTTAAAACACACTTTAAGATTCTTGTGTAGATCACCATATTCAAACTCTGATTTCCCTTTAGAGGTTCCTAGCTTGCCTTCAATGGAAATGGCAGGAGTAACTATTTCACGCACAAATGCAAATTTGGAGTCAGCTCGATAAATCATTTTTCCTCTTTCTTTTTCCATTCAAAGCAAGGTTTCTATGGATCTTTCAGTAATAATCAATTTTGAACCAAGAACATGGGACATGATATACATTTCCTCAGCTTCAGCATGTATCTATAATTCTTTTACCAATTTAGTGTAGATAGGACCATAAAGGAATTTAAACAAGTTTCCCCATCCTTGATTGTTTAGTTCCTTTGTTAAGTCCATGCCGTTTGCTTTCAGATTATCAAAGTCCACTAAAAGTTCACAGAGAAGTTCTAGTTGGACGGCTGGTGTAGATAGATGAATGTGCGGAGAACGGTCAAGTATGTGTGGTTGTTTAGGAGGTTATTGAAAAGTTGCCAAGATTGCTTTGGTGACGAAGATTCTATTGGAGGAGTACTTGAAACCGTTTGATGAGTATTTTTTTTTCTCATTTTTCAATTTCTTGAGAAAACTTGAAAACTTCTTCTTGTGGGGCATCCAAGGTGGAAGAAAAACACCAAAAGAATTTTGGAATTTAGGGGTTTTAGGTTTAAAGGGTTTAAGGTGTAGGAAGTGAAGTGAACAATGAGTGTTAAAAAAATGAATTCTTATAACAAGAGAGAAGGTAT